GGATGCTTGGTGCACGCACATCCTCTGCTCCCCCTGTCGATGCTGGGTTCAGCGATGCCTAGAATACTCATCCAAAATCGGTGTGACCTTGCCACTCAGCTGCTCATCCAGCCGTGGCAGGTCATCTTGTGCACCTACCCTCATGTGCTGTTTGTTTGTCACTTTCTGTACTTTATTCCGTCCTCGTTCTTGTCTCATTTGTGTATCATCACTTGTAAGAGACAAACAAGACCCCATTTTGTCCCTGAAGATCAGCTGATTAGCATCTGATTGGGCCTGTAATCCTAATGACTTTCTTCACCACACATCCAGATCACACAGTCAGCCCATCAAATTTGCACATCTGGGGTTTTACTTAGAGTGAAAATAGTGATTGCGTCACATCTTGTAGGTTTTATTCAATTAAAGAAATACAGACTATGTGTAAATACCCCCCCCAATTATTACTATTCAAATATGGGGCCACTCAGACTTGTTACAAACCCATTTCAGATCAACTGTAAGTGGTCACCTCTGACATCTCGATATAAATTGTGTATGCTAAAACATTTTTTTATTTGGATGTATATTATGCATGTTCTGTGACGATACACACAGAAACATCACCAACAGGCTCTCAGTGAGCAAAAACAGAATATCAGCAGGTCTGCTGAAGTTTCTTGTAAAAATGACAATATATTCAAACATCTGAACTACATTATTATTGACAACAACACGGTTCAGAACCCTTTGAGTTGCATCTTTACAGTTAAATTTTGATAGACCCAATTATCACACAATAAAAGAGAAATAAGGGTACATACAGTAAACTATGATTTTGACTTCACAGAACTCAGTGTCAGAGCAAAGACTGGAGATTTTAACTGTAAATTGTCAAAGATGCATTGACAGTCTCAGGCTTTTCTCTACCCAGCTTCAATTTGACCACAATTAGGTAAAATAATTGAAACATACTGCTGCACAGACTTTTGTTTCCTAAGAACATTGAAGATCACAGTGACAACAGCAGGCCCAAAACCATTCAGAGCAAACAAAACATGTTCTATGAATGTTCCTAAGTGGCAGTGTTTAATTACCTTTAACCACCTGACAGCTGAGTGGACTTTTTTTTAACACTGTGTCGTCTGCTTGTGTGGGGTCATATCAGTTGATCAAGATGTCTCACATTAAGGATCAGGATAAATTTTGTCCAGACTACCAAACATCCTACAGTCATCAGTTGGTTTTTCACATCACCCTGCTGACAGTGATTACTGCAGGGATTTGATTTGATTTATTTATTTAACAAGAAAAGATTATTAAAAATCAAGCCTGACTCAGCATAATTGCTGTTTTACAGCAGGTTCCTTTTCTGCAGCACATAAAACAC